GCTCTCGGACAAGCACTGAGCATACAGTGCTTATTAATATACGTTGGGTAAGGGCAAACCTGTTATATATAATTAGCATCTCCCCAACGCAAAAATACATCTTGAAAATAGATTTTTTTAACCACCGCAATGGCAGATTTTCTTTTCTTTGGCAATTTATTGCTGTGTAAGTATTGGCAATAATCCAGCAAAAGTTTGGTTACTTGCACTGTTTATTTAATGCAACCAGTAACTCATACGTAAGTGCAGGCGAATGCTTTTTATGTACCCAACTAACAATTCAAGCAAATAAAGTTTCGCACTCCAAAATTATTGCCTATCATCTTATGGACTCTTGGGGCCCATATTGTTTCATTTGAACATCTCAGGCCCAGCAAGTATTAAATCACACGTGCTTCTAGGTGCTTAAAGTGGTTGCAATGTTGAAAACAACAAAGGAACACACTGAGACCAAAATGCAATTGATCTTACTCAGTTTTATCTGCTGATTCAACTCTCTCTCTGAATTTGTTGGCGGCATCGGTCAGATTATTAACTGCTGACTGCATGTCATCTGAAAGTGGAATAACAGGTGTCCTTTCAGTGTTAGGTGTACTGCAAAAACTTGAGGGGGGGGGAATTTAACACCCCCAGTGTTATGTGAGGACTAAACCAACACTCTTCATGGTTGTGTTATTTGGTGTCCTTCTGATAGCCAACTGCCATTATTAGGCAGGCGTTTTGCTACCACATTCTACCTGCTCCCACAAATCCGAAGCATCAGAATGTGAAACCATAGCAGTCCAATGAGCCTGTCCGGTGGTCCAACTGCGCAGGCCAAAAATGAAACGTCCGATGTGATTTGAACGCGCATGCCAATTCTGCCCAATCAGCGCAGCCCTTCACGGACTCAGGCCGGGCGTGTGCTTAGTTTCCAACTGACCTTGCTTTTTCGATATATCGAACTGGCTCATTCTTTGATCCCTAAATTTTGTCTGTGTCCTGCTAATGGCAAACAGACATTTGGGCCATAGGTGTACGTACCGAACAAGATGCCCTCAGCTATCATTTTCTGGCCAACAGATCCCCCACGTAGATTTTGATAGTATTCCTGAACATATTCAGCATACACAGCCACGTCCATAGGCAGTTTCACCTCCTCGGCAAGGTTACGCGCCATTTCACTAAGCAGTTGAGCCATAGCACGGTGATAGACAAAGCCAGGATCGTAGTACAAGTCAACCAGTTTGAAAGTCTCGTACACAGAATGGTACATCGGATATCCTGATATCTTTATGTTTTTCTGTTTTCATAGCAGAAAGAAACAATAGGTAAAACTTCATTATCCACAAATATTTTTAAAAATGTTGTATGCTAACATTATATTGTGTAGTTACAATTTACAGTTGCGCGAAGTACGACTTGTTTTATTTACCTTGTCATAGGTGTAGGTGAAATCCGCCGCAGAAATTCCAGCAAGCTGTAAAAATGGCGCGTAATCACTTCCAGATCCCAGCGTACCAATGCTAACAAAGACAACCAGTAATTTTCAGAACTATTCCAATATGTTTCTGTTTTCAGAATGAATGCATTAAATGCAGGCTCGCACCTTTTACAAGTGACTTAAATCGGGCACATTTTAAGGCCACAAATAATGGCATTGGTTGTCAAACTCTGGAAAGATATTAACACTGCACTTTATGCAGAAAAGAAGTCGCGTAATCATAAACGCATGTAACAGTTTTGCTGAAAACCATGCCAGATTATGTACAGTAAAACGACGTTATCCATTAATGGTAACAAATATTTTATTTCGTATTAAAGTTGATTACCAAGACTGTTAAAAGATAATTATTTCAAGCTTTGCTAAGAATGCTCCGAGAGATGTATACAAATACAGTACGTGTTAAGAGACTTGGAAACTTTCACACGGGACTTACTGGGGATGACCGTCAACAGTGTTTCCCACAAGATCTCGTTCCTTCCAGGTATCGTACAAGGTTTGCCGATTACCTTCAGGCTTGGGATCGGGAACCTTACAGGTAGAACAGAGCAAAAGAGATGTCTGTCAGAACGCGTGTAAAGATATAGTTGCACCACAAATTAGAGTGTAATAAAATGAGTAAATCATAACTTCTCAAAAAACACTTTACACACTACACTCAATTCGTCAAGAGGAATATGATTAGTATACAAGACAAGAGAGCGCTCATTCGAGCGGTTCTATACAGATATTGTAAAACAACCAAAATAACTCTGTAAAATTTCACCATGAAAAGGAAAAGTTTATCCAGCATAGGGACAAAGTGAACTTACCTTACCGTTTTGCAAATGATGCTTTCAAACTGTCGAATGGAAATCACACGTATTATGTGGTTGTGCAAATAACATATTTTGGAATAACACCCAATCCGACTACCCACCGCTACTTATAAATGAGGCCTATGCAGCAAAATAGCTATTCTCTAACTTTGATGCTAATATATTATCGTATGATGCAATACAGAAGGCAAACGTATAGGTGAGGCTTGTTTAAGCCTTCTGCTTGCAATTTTTCGTGATCTACCACAAAGATGCCTGTATTGCATCATACGATAATATATTAGCATCACAGTTAGAGCATGGCCATTTTGCTGCACAGGCCTCACTTATAAGTAGCGGTGGGTAGTCGGATAGGGTGGGAATTGATACCAATATATTTGGTTATGTATCGTAAGCGGTGAAGATGCCTACCTTCATCGCAGCTCGATAAATTGCATTATACAAGTTGGGGGTTCCAGCAACTTCTACCACAAAGGTGCCTGTTGAAATTAAAATGTATATTTTCAATTTGATTGTAGTTTACATTGATAATGCAAACTTTGGAGCAACCAACAGCAAACTTACATTTTGTTCCGAAAAATACTAGTCAATTTTTTGCACTGTTTATTGCAAGCGCAATGCTACTTTTCTTTTATTGGGGGGTTCAATTTCCGTCTTCATTTCATTTATGCATTTTGGGAAGTTACCAGCCCTTCTTATGTAAGTCCTCCCCTCAGTAAAATGCATTGATGAAAATGCTCATTCTTTGTCCATGAACAAAATGCACCTCGTCAATAAAAAAGAAGGGGTGGTATTTAATCAAGAAAAGTCCTTTCTTATTTCAGGTTGAACCAATCAAAAATTGGTACACGAATGAAACATATCGAATCATGCATTCCCTTTTAGTGTATGACATGCTAGAGCAGTACAGTTGTGAACGCTGAGAGGCAGATAAATGGGGTACCAACCATGCACAGCAATATCCGATTGAGGTAAGCCACAGCCCTTGCTCCAAGATTCTTGGCATACTCCTGTTATTGAATATTTTAAAAGAGAAATCGCTGTGTATCAGCTGTTTTTCTTTAAAAGACACGGTGGTACAATATAAAACACGTCAAAAGTCATCTGCATAGCACGATTTGATACCCTATGCCGTGAAATAAAAAGTGCTTTCGTTTCCATGACAATCAAGGTTAGTTATTGGCTATTTACATATGAAAAATTAGTATTAAAAAAATAGTATTTCTGAGAGTGCAAATTTTGTTTGTTTATTATTTTATTCAAGTCTTAATTGATTGCAAAAGTTCGTTTGTAGGTTTAGTAGTACCGTGCTTTCCCAGTCGAAAAGTATGCTTTCGGTTAGGCCAAATGGCTCAAACGCTATGAGAAAAATGAGTATCTTTTTTAGTCCAAATGCAAAAGTATAAATTTGCTGGACTTATTATTGGATATTTGGTATCCTTCCTCATTGATGGGACAGTAAGTTTATTTGTTTCGCCATTCTTTGAAATAAGTGATTTGCTTTACCTCAACCCATTCATTAGAGCCAATCAGGCCAAACTCCTCGGCTCCCCAACTGCCAAACATGATCGTACGGCGTGGTCTCCAACCTGCAGTGTCAGTGTACCACGCAAAAGTAAGTTTATCAATTGTTCTCTAAATTACATTTCCAGACACTTCATTCTGTCAGTTTTTAAACTTAACTTTCGTTTGCTATCCTTAGTATCCTTATTCCTTTTGCAGGACTAATCCAAAGGAGCCTCCTAATTGCGGTGGCACCGCCCTTACAGGGGCGTTTTAACGTTTGGTGCGAATGTTCATTTGCTTGATCACGACAAACCCCGTGAAAGACCAAAAAAAAAGAAAAAAAAAGAAAAAAGAAAGAAAAGGGGGGCAATATTCCTGGTAACAGGGTCCTTTGTGGGAACTTCAATGCTTTGGTTCACAAACGGCTATGAAATGCATGCGTTGCGGCTGCATTGCTACCAACAAAATGAACTTTCCCCGCCCTCTTGGCTTTTTTCAACTGATGTGGGTGCTTTAGCTCAAGGCGGATTGGTCGAAGAGGCATGCAACGTGCGTGTACTGTTTGCCTGCTAGAGTTGTACCACCGCAGTAATAGCCGCTATGAATCACACTGCAACAGTTAAGCGTCTTTAAATTTACAGCTACAAATTTGCAGCTAAAGAGTTTTATGTTACTGCCATCTGCCTTTTCAGTAACAGAATTGTATCAAGACAACTACTGGAATCCATACCATCTTTGAGGAGTCTTCCCATGACTCGGCTAATTTCCAACAGACAGGCCGTACCACTCGAAGGATCAATGGCGCCGTAACCCCAGGCATCTCGATGGTTACCAATTATTATGTAACGATCTGGATCCGTAAAATGTAGGCAAACGACTTTTTAAGATCTGTGCATTTTATTCGTGACTAGCTATGATGTATTTGGGTGGGGAAAATGTAGAAGTTGGTATTCATCCTCACCTTCAATCACAAAAACTCCTTACTTGTTCAGATATTTGACAATACCGGGCTCGAGTTTAGTTTTGATCACTGCACTGGGGTCTTCTATCTAGAATTGTCAGTCTATTATGTAATACAGATTTATGTAACTAATAATAACAATTCATTTTTTTTCATTCTCTTCCAATGCACAGTTATTTCAATACAAGTTTATTATACTATTTAATAACAATTACCTGGTTCAACGTTCCCTTTGATAGTTCCGATAACATTGTATGCATTTGCCATACGATTCTCGTTGTAAATATTCATCTTTACCTTCCTGTGAAAAAAATGCAAACATTAATGAAACGGGGTTTGAAGTCCTGTAAATTATCAGTCGAATATCAACCTCTACTTCGTGGGGCTGTCGTCTTGTAACAACATAAATTTGATTTCCTTTGCACCATGTTGATCAAACCCGTAAAGAATTATTTGCTGACACATTATGAAAGATTATACAAGAGTATAAATCCCGCCATCTGATTGGTGGATCGTTGATCACATGTCACTGAATCATTGAATTATTTGTTCTAATAGAACTTTACCTGACCGATTCCTGTCCTCATTGCATAAACAAGATATCTTTCATCCCCAGTAAGAAAGACGAAAATAATGTAGAGACGGTAACAAGTGTAGCATTGCACAACCGGTGGGAGGTGCTTTAGCGTTTCGGGCACGAATCTATTTCACACAATGGCGAACGTAAATGCGCCAGGGCTGTTTGTTGGAACATAAGAGCATTTATGCGGGTCAAATAAGAAATGTTTTACATTTGTGCAATTGTAAGAATAATTTGAATACATGAGGTGACAGATGAAATGTTTTTTTACAGAGGCAAAGCACTTATAAACATTCATAATTTGTTTGTCATTACACATGTCACCCTAAAAGTAAACACAAACATCTCAGGAGAACCGTCAATGTTTACTTACTTGTTAACATTGTCGGCATTGAAACCGGGTCCATAGCGGTAAGTTAAACCCGGCAAATTGCCAGCCCATTCTGGTTTTACTGAGTTGCCACCCATTATGCTGAAATAAATTGACAAGAATATTGTTTTCTATCAAAACAACTGATATGCTTTGCAATATGAACAAGAATGTAATATAAAATCAGTGCTCTGGATTTGTCAGTGCACTGATTTGATATTATATTCTTAGTTAATATTCTGATCACGGTGCTATGCAGTCCTTCTATATTTCTCTGATATGCTTTGCAATACCGAAACTCTAGAAGTTTAAAAGAAAAAAACCTCTTCCTCTATATTCTTTATATCATTACATTAAAAATTTGTATTTCAACTTCAACAAATAAGAGCATCACACTAATGAACATTTCGGTTTGTGAGTTCACCAATGTCGCAGGTTCAAAGGGTTACTTGCCCCAGGAAAAAAATTCTAAATGTGTCACTAAAAATATTGGGAAAATTGAAAGGTATATGAAAAAGAGACAAAAGGGATGAAAAAACCAATATGCTTTCAAAAAACCCTTTTTTCCTACTCAAAAAAAGTGGTTTGCAATTCTCCTAGAAAACGTCCTGGGGAGACTCATATTGAGTTGATTAAACTTCAGGGGAGTACAGTAAAAAGCGGCTGTGTGATAGAAGACTCAATAAATAATAGTGGTCTACATGCGTAGACTAAGGAAGTGCTGTCTTTCTCATTTTTTCCTTTTCAACTAATATATTTTTTTTTTACTTTTTTATTGTAATAGGGGCAGCATTACTGCAAAGAGCTTTTTTTAACAATCCAACCTAAGAAACACTGCTGCGTCGTTGTATCCGATGGGATGTACTGGGATGCCTGGAATGCCAGTCACATTATTCATTGGTACCCGGTAAGCCGATTCTATCAGTGAAGGAGAAAATTGGTTAAGTGTAAGAATTAGTTTGAGACCAAAGCATATGCGCATGTCTGCAGCAGTGCCGAGCTGGAGCGTCTAAATAACCTTGTACCCACTTCATTAAATTGGGAGTGCGCTGTTGGGACACAGAATTGGTTAATTAAAAATGGCTCGTTAAAATGTAAGAAATGCAAGTAATACAACAGAGTGGACATACTCATTTTATGATTTTTTTTTACTGTTAGTTCTACTTTCGTGAAGGTTCCCATGAAAACAATCTTATCTGTCTTTTATTTGAATGCGACCGACTGGTGAATAAAAGAGTCGGGTATCCAATTAAGTGTTGGGAGAAGAATGGGGTTTCTGTTCTAAAAAAATGGCTTTTGAAATCTCCATCCTCACACCACACCACCCCGTTAGAAGGGAGATGGAACCGTTTCTAAAGTGGCGGTGCTTGCAAACTTTCTGGAGGGACAGATTTACCTCCCCTAGATATTAAAGTCATTGGATACAAATTTTGTGCGGTTCAATTAGTCAGCGTGTATTCATTTTCCTCTTACCTACGGCAGGATAGCCTGGTGTACGGGGATCACCACTGCCAAGTAGCAGCGAGCCGCGTTGAGTGCCCGTTCCCGGCAGGTAGATGCCATCTGGGTAGACGGCTGCTCCCTCTACAGCATAGTCTCCCGGGTCACTGTACAAGATCAGACCGATACACCCAGCCTTCTCGGCATTGGCAGCCTGGGAAGAATGGTTGAGTTCTTCAAAGTGAAAAATCTCTTTATCGTTACACTGATAAGATTGAAATGATATCAAGGTTATCCAGAAGCTGTGTCAGTACAAAAGATTCCCTTTACTAAAAAAAGAAAAAAAGAAAATCGGTCATAATTTCATCCTCGAGAAACAACCCAAACAGTAAAACAAACGAAATAGCATAAAGACCGCAGCAGGTTGCCATTGAAATCTCCAACGGAATATAATGAAGATTTCTATCAGGATTCTGCTGTTACCAATCTGAACACCGAGTCAATCATAATTACGTCGCCATGGTTTCTTGGTAGTTCACCCCTAACTTACCTTATCACCCCTGTAGATTTTGGCATATCGTGCGATGCATATCTTGCCTGTGACGTCGATACTCAAATCCCTCTCCAACTCTTGAAAATCTTCCACGCGACCGTAGTTCACATACACCAAATCACCCTGCACACAAATATTACAAATCTGTTCACTGGGTGCTTTTACAGGTTTCCGGGGTCTAATGTTCGAACCCAGTTCCTGCTGTTTTTAATCTCTATAGCAAGTGCAAAAGCACGCTACTGGTTCACAAATAAGATCCCGTTTAAGTTTAAGTCCAACCTTAACCATCCCTCCTTAAAAAGTAAAAAAGCCTTCAAGAAAGCTGGATAAAAGGAGTAAAACGATTAATTGGTCGGTAGAAAATAACTCAAACCAAACTCTAAACCAGGAAGGCCAGGAAGCCTTTTGACCACTTTGACGTGATGTTTAATTGATCATAAATTTGCTACAGGAAGTACCAAAAAGTACCATTTCCAAAAATATTCCCTCTGTCAAAAATCTGAAAAGCGCTGGGATGGGTTTGGACCACTCTTGGCTAGTTGACAACACTTTTGAATAATTTTGAATAAGAAAATTGGGCAAGACAGGATGAAATTTCTACTAGCTACTAGAATCAAACTGCAATTGATACTGAGCAAAATACCCTTAATCCAAACTCAACTCATCAAACCACCATCCAAATATACCTGTACAGAGTTCTATGTATTGACAGGACGCCATCTCCATTGCATAAAAAGACAAATAAAACATGCACGAGGTTTTTGCCCGTACCTCTATCTCTCCAGCTGGAGAGTACGCATTGAACGGTGCCAAGATATCAGGATCAACCTCCGGGTTATCATTGCCAGGTTCCAGTGGTGGCTCTCGCTCCTGAGTGGTGTGATCAACTGATCCTCCAGCCGAATTCAAAAGTTGAATCTGTAACATAATATTGCAGGACAAGTATAATAAATTAAGTTTAACCTCCGCATTAGTCTTGGGTCCAAGACTCCTTTTGCGATGCTACGATCGGATATGCTTGGTATGTGTCTGTGGTACTTAACATAGGTGATTTGTTGTGACAGCGCCCTCTTTTTACGCGTTCGAGCCGCTGTGATCCTGATTCGTCTAGTGATGGAAACTAAGACTATTTCCTCGTGCGCTGTTTAATTAAGTAACTTGGTTCCCTCCTTTTTTGGCTTTGTGTCTCCTGGTAATTATTGCATGGTTGTGGTTGTTCCGGTTGATCGCTTCAATGTTACGTGTTACACTTGTTGTGCCTATGAAGGTAATTGATAGTGAAGCATATTGCGCATGTCTTAATGTTTAACGTCCAGTGAGCATATCAGTTTAGTTATCGCCCCGTTCAATTAGAAGCGATGTGAAACGCACTGTAACCAAAAATCTGCCTAGCAATTATCATCATGCCATTCAATTATAAAAAAATATCGGGCCACGTGGAAGAGGATCTAAAATGATTTTCTCCCGACCTTTGATATGAAACAACATGATTTTATTTAATACAACTGTATTTCATTTTAACCCCAATGAAGACTCATATCACAAGAAACAAGCCTTCCTAGCTCAACCTGTGAAAAGTATTCTGCATTATTGTCTCTGAAATCACAAATGCATATGGTAAACTGTAATAAATACCGTGTTTTGTTTGGGTTCGCCAGTCAGCGGCGGGTACGACAGCAGGACTTGGTAGGTGACAATTTTGGCCGAGTCCAATCCTTGACTTAGCCAGCTATCCCGTACCCATTCTGCTTGTTCCAGGCTGACAGCGCTGCCCGCTACGTGGGATTTGTTCGACAAATACCTGGAAGAGGAAGATACGAACACTACGAAATCACAAAAGCGAAGACCAAAACAAGCGAAACCGGCACACGTCGTACATGTATGTACACATCACCCCTACACATGTAATACTTCTTTAATCTCCCAAGGAGCCGGAATTAATCCCCCGCAACATTTTCCCCGGTATCTCCACTGCACATTTTGTTTACGAGCTGATCCTTTAGGAATTTTTAAAATAATTCTTTGCGGTCATTTAGACAACAAGTTTGAGAAATTGACCCTACCATTCTCGAGCAGCGCCAATAGAGGGATTTCACATTAGTGCCGTCTGCGCAAATCCGCATCAAAACTGAGGCTCTCTGTGTTGAACCCCCTCGCCCCGCGCGCGCCCGCGGAGTACAGTCGACACAGTACATGCAGTAACCGGTTCGTGAAGCCACTTCAGTTTAAACCATGTACACTGAACATGCAGATACACGACCATCGCGGGAGCGTTAGTTCGCGGTAAATTGCCGTTATTTTTTCTTTTGATTTTAC